AAAGACAGTTTAATAAGTAAAGCAAAAGCTGCGCACGCAAGCAAAGCAAAACAAGGAATTCATTCACTCCTCCCCATGGGCAGGCAGGTGTTCAGCCATCTCCAGGGAAGCAGGGCTGCATCACGCGTAATGGTTTCTTGGGAAGACAGACGCCATAACTCCGAATGTCCCTCCACCCCTTCCTTCTTCTTTGTCCCAGCTTTATATAGTGAGCATGATGTTATAAGGTATGGAATATCTCTTTGGCCAGTCTGGGTCAGCTGTCCCGGCTGTGTCCCCTCCCAGCTTCCCGTGCACCCCCAGCCTGCTCGCTGCAGGCCAGCAGGAGAAGCTGGACTGTCCTTGACTACTTAGCAACAACTCAAAACACCAGCACATTATCAACATTTTCTCATCTCAAATCCAAAACATAGCCTCACACTAGCTTCTATGAAGAAAATTAACTCTACCCTGGCTGAAACCAGGACAGGGCCTCTTGGTAAGGGTGAAGGGGAAGGCAAATAAAGCAGATGTGGCAGTCTACTATCGACCACCTATCCAGGATGACAACACCAATGAGTTATTCTACAAGGAATTAAGGGGTATGTCTACATTAGCTGCTCTTGTCCTTATGGGTGATTTTAACTTCCCAGACATCAACTGGGTGTATCATGCAGTGGACACAAACAGGTCCAGGAAATTTCTGAAGCATGTTGAAGATAACTTCTTGTTGCAGGTACTAAGGGAGTTGACTGGGAAATGTGTCCTCTTTGCAAACAGAGAAGTGATGGACGAAGTGTGGAGAAAGTGGTGATTGGTGGCTGTCTTGGAATGAAGTAGTTGAGTTTCAAATGGTTGGCAATAGGAGGAAAAACTGCCAGCAAAACTCCAACCCTGGCTGTGAAGAGAGCAGACTTTGCTGCTGAAGGTGTAAGGTTCCCCTGGGAATCTGCTTTTGAAAGTATTGGGGTCTATGAATGCTTATCACTTTTTAAGAGCCATCTCTTAAGAGCACAGGAGCAGGCAATTCCAAAGTGTCCGAAGTCAAGCAAGCAGGGCAGAAGGCTGAGCAGGGATCTTCTTCTATAATTTAGGTGGAAAAGGAAAGTGTGCAACATTGGAAACAAGGGCAGGTGATGTGAGAGGACTACAGAGATGCTGTTTGCCACTGTAGGGAGAAAATTTGTGAGGCCAAAGCTTGATTAGAGTTCAACCTGGCCAGCGCTGTGAAGGACAACAAAAAGGGCATTTTTTTTTTTTTTAAGTATTCTAATAGCAAAAGGAGAATCAGAGGTAGCATTGAGCTGTTGCTTGATGAGATCAGTCACCTCACAAATAGGGATGTACACAAAGTGGAAACATTTAATGTTCTTCGCCACTGTCTTCCACACCAATGATGGGCCCTGGGACCCCTGGAGTCCTGTGTTCGAAGATTGTGACTGGAAGGATGATAAACTCCCAGTCGACCCTGAACTTTTTCAAGACTTGCTTCTCCAGCTGGATGCACATAAATCTATGGGGCCCAATGGGATTCATCCCAGGGTACCGAAACAGCTGGCCAATGTCATCATGGGATGTCTCTCCATTATTTTTCAGTCGTCTTGGGAGTCTGGAGAGGTCCCAGCCAACTGGAATCTAGCAAATGTTGTCCCAATTTTCAAGAACAGTATGAAGGAAGACCCTGGTAATTACAGGCCTGTCAGTCTCACTCCTGGTAAAATTATGGAGAAGGTTATTCTGGGAGTTATTGAAAAACACTTGGGAGACAACACAGTCATTGGTCATAACCAGCTCAGGTTTATGAGGAAAAAGTCCTGCTTAACCAACTTAATTTCCCTTTATGACAAAGTCACCCTTCTAGTTGACCAAGGGAAGCCAGTAGATGTGGTGTTTTTGGACTTTAGCAAAGCTTTTGATACTCTCTCTCACAGTACCCTTCTGGATAAACTGTCCAGCTCACAGCTAGACAAGTCCATAATACGTGGCATGAGCAACATTGGCTGACAGGTCAGGCTCAAAGTGTTATAGTAAATGGGGTACATCTGGCCAGCAGCCAGTCACCAGTGGGGTTCCCCAGGGCTCAGTTTTAGGGCAAGTGCTCTTTAATGTTTTAATAAATGATCTGGATGCAGGAATCGAATATACATTAAGTTTCCTGATGATACTAAACTAGGAGGAGCGATGGACTCCCTTGATGGTAGAGAGGCCTTACAGAGAGATAAGACTAGACTAGAGAGCTGGGCAATCACCAACCACATGAAATTTAACAAGAGAAGTGCCATATTCTCCACCTGGGATGGGGCAATCCTGGTTATACATATGTACTGGGGGATGAGAGACTGGAGAGCAGCCCTGAGGAAAGAGATCTGGGGATTTGGGTTGATGGCTCAACAAGTGCTCAACTGCACTTGGGTCACAACAACCCCATGCAACACTACAGGCTTGGGGAAGAGTGGCTGGAAAGCTGCCCGTCAGAAAAGGACCTGGGGTGTTGGTTGACAGCCATCTGAACATGAGCCAGAAGTCTGCCCAGGTAGCCAAGAAGGCCAATAGCATCCTGGCTTGTATCCTTGTGGCCACCAGGATGCCTGTACTCGGCACTGGTGAGGCCACACCTCAAATACTGTGTTCAGTTTTGGGCCCCTTACTACAAGAAAGACATTGAGGTGCTGGAGCATGTCCAAAGAAGAGCAACAAAGCTGGCGAAGGGTCTACAGAATAAGTCTTATGAGGAGCAGCTGAGGGATTTGGGTTGTTTGGAGAAGAGGAGGCTGAGGGGAGACCTTATTGCTCTCTACAACTACTTGAAAGGGGGTTGTGATGAGGTGGGTAGTAGTTCCTTCTCCCAAGTAACTAGCGATAGAACAAGAGGAAATGGCTTCAAGTTGTGCCAGGGGAGGATTAGACTGGATCTTAGGAAAAATTTCTTCACTGAAAGGGTTGTCAAGCATTGGACCAGGCTGCCCAGGGAAGTGGTTGAATCACCATCCCTGGAGGTATTGAAAAGGTGTGTAGATGTGGCACTTAGGGCTTGGTGGCAGACTTGGCAGTGTTAGGTTTATGATTGGACTTGATGATCTGAAAGGTCTTTTCCAACCTAGATGATTCTATGATTCTATGGCAAGTTGAATATGAGTCAACAGTGTGTCCTGGCAGCCAAAAGTGCCAACTGTGTCCTGGGGTGCATCAAGCACAGCATAGCTAGGCGGTCGAGGGACGTGATTGTCCCACTCCACACTGCACTTGTGCAGCCCCATCTCAAGTACTGTGTGCAGTTTTGGGATCCTCATCATAGGAAGGACATCACACAATCAGAGTGTGTCCAGAGGAGGGCAACCAAGATGGTGAAAGGCCTCAAGGGCAAGACTTACGAGGAGTGACTGAGGTCACTCGGTTTGTTCTGCTTGGTGAAGAGAAGGCTGAGGGATGACCTCATCGCAGTCTACAACTTCCTTAAGAAGGGCAGCAGGGGGAGAGGTGCTGATCTCTCTCTGGTGACTGGCAATAGGACATGAGGAAATGGAATGAAGCTGTGTCAGGGGAAGTTCAGATCTGACATTGGAAAAATGTTCTTTGCTGAGAGGATGGTTGGTCACTGGAACAGGCTCCCCAGGGAAGGGGTCACTGCACCAAGCCTGTCAGAGTTCAGGGAGTGTCTGGATGATGCTCTTAGTCATATTGTTTAGTTTTAGGTAGTCCTGTGAGGAGCAGAGAGTTGCACTTCATGATCCTTATGGATCCCTTCTAACTTGAGATATTCCATGATTCTGTGATTCCATTTTGAATATATAAAAGATGACATTAGGCTTTCTGGTTTTATGTTTATAAATTCCATTTTGTGATCTAGAAATGTTTTATATACTTGTTAGTTTGAGGAATGATATGCTTATAGCCTCCCTCCATTCCTTATTTTTAAAGATTTTAGGTTTTGAAAATAAACAAAAGAACAATATTATGTTTTTTTCCCTATGATATACTGATGCAATGGAGCTTAAACACACATTCAGGAACATATTATATCTCTGTCTTATGTACTGGCTGACATAAAATTGAACAAATTATGGACAATGCTTTTTATTGCATTTTTTATCTCAACAAGCTTATTTGTATTAGTCATATGAATAAATTAGATGTGCAAACTGTAGTCTTTTAATTAAAAAAAAAAACCTGATATTTTGTCCTTTTGATTTTGGTAGGAAATAGTTCTGGTTGTTTTTTTTGGTGCTGAATATGTGGTCCGATTGTGGTCTGCAGGCTGCAGGAGTAAGTATGTTGGCTTCCAGGGAAGAATACGGTTTGCCAGAAAGCCAATATCAATTATCGGTAAGATTTAAACTCTTTTTTTTTTCCTTTTTCTTAACTTTGCTATTATAATCCATTTTAAAGTAAAGATGTCAATGCTGCAGAGACCATATTGCAATTCTAAGCTATGTCTATCACTCAAGTATTTATCTGCTTTGTGAACCTATGCAATTATTTCTTCTTTTGGATTGCTATAACATTTAAAATATGGCAGACATCAGCTTAAGAAAGGCAAAATTGTAAAGTGAAGAAATCTTTACTAAATTTACGTATGTAATTGGAGAAAATCGACAAGATTTTGAACACAAAATCCTTCCTTAGAGCTGCTGTAAAAAGCAAACACAAAGGTGAATATAAATTGGGAAAAATATGGAAATATGCAAAATATAACTCAGGAAAAATACCCCTGGGTAGTACTAAGCGGTTTTTGATGGTTTCACAAACTATTGTGGGTAGCATCTCTGGAGTAGGAGTGAGTTTACGGGGAGAGGTAACTAATAAAACCTGTGGAACAGTGAGGGATTAAAAAAAGATGGTGCTAGGACAAAATTGTAGTAGACCATAAAATCAGCTTTTCTGTTTTAAATGTGTGATTTTATATAGACTCCAGTAGACCTGCAAATTTTATGATAGTCAAATATCAACTCATTGAATTTTAAATAAAGCAAAGTGGGAGAGGTGAAAAGGGGAGAGAATGAGCTGATGTTTCCTTAGCCATCTGTGACTTTGTGAAACTTGGTGCAAAAACTCTTGAAACAACATATTCTATTATATAGTGGTATATAGGGTAGTGAATATTGTGTTGAGATACTATACTCTGTTTTGGGTTATTGAGAAAGAAGTATTTCATTACATACGAACAAATTCTTCAGCTGCTTATAGAGCGGATAGAGTTTCATGATCTAACCATGAAACTTATAGGTATCTTTTTTTCCTAGTCATGTTCTTGACTTCTCTTTCAATAAAGAAATGCTTCTTAGGAAGGTATATTGAAGTACACAGGTGCAGGAGAAAATGTGGCAGTCCCATTAAACTTGATGTCGACTTGATAGTGGTTCTGTATACTGGTATTGTGCATCTACCACAGTAAACACTAATGTTTGTATAGCCCTTGGAGAAGATACCGTGTGTTTTGTTAAGAAAAGCTAAGAATGACTACATTCAAAGGTATCATAACTGTTTTTACCTTTAAAATACCCCTAAGAATACAATACATTTAAAGTCAAGATTTGTTTTTACGTATCAAATGCAGATGGAATTGTGTCTCCACTAATCCAAATAGCTAAATTTGGGAAATACATTTGCCGTTGAATGATAGAATCATAGTGACTCATCCTATCATTTGCAAATCAACAAGAGTAAAATACAAACACTAGAAAAAGAAATTAAAGAATTAGAACAGAATGTAAATATTAAGATATTTATTTTACTTTTGTGTTAATACAAAAGTCTTTATTTTAAAAATAGAAAATATCATTGAAATGCCTTTGATATCAGAGAGATTTCTTTTATGGGTTTTTGTCCACACTAAAATGTACATTAATTCTTAGAAAGTTCAACTTGGGTAGCAATTTTGAACTACTTTAATTTCTCCCATTCTCTTTCCTTTTTTTCCCTCTCTAATTGTAAATAGAAATTATATTTTGTTGCTAATTACCAGAAAGTTATTTAGTAGTTAAGCTGGTTTTGACAGCATGCAGTTTGAAAGACATATGTGGGACAATGTGGTGTAAAGACCTGAGTACACATATCTATGTCCATCTCATATAGTCCTTAAGCAAAGCATAATAGAACTTTATTTATGAGCACCTTTAACTGGTTATGTATACAGCCCTGAAAAAGCATCAGCACCTGGTATGTAAAGCTCCAGTTACCGTGTAAAAACCTAACTTATGAAGTGCTGATAGGACACAAAAGTTCAGCAAAAAAGAATGTGATGTAAACATGTGCATATAATTTGTTTAAATGGATGTTGTGTTATCTCCAGACTATTAAGAACACACCTCCAAGCTGAGGGCTATTTCCACTCTGTAAAATACTATGGCAACTAAAAATTAAAATACAAATGCAAACATTTTTACTGTTTTATATTTTAAAATGATTAATCGGTTTTAATAAAAAAAATAAGAATCACATACTAAACAGTAAACTTGTGAGAACATTAGAAACAAGTCAGCAATTTGCTCAGAAAAGGCAGATAAGCTGCATTATAGGTGTTGCTGTATGCTATGCTGAAGTTTATGCATACCTAAGTAGTATTTCACTGACAATCTGATTTTGTCTGAATCTGGCAGCTGTTTGGAATTTCTCAAGGATATGGAACATAAGAGTAAGCCACAGGGACAGTGGACTAGCAGTAGACTAGGTTTTCAAATACGTGTACTACACATGCTAAATTGCAGGGAATGTCATTTATGTAGGTCTGTCATCTACATATGTAGTGCGCATATTATATAGAAGACGCTATGTCATTTTTGTGTCTCTATAACTCTTGTGTATGTACAGACATGTTTGTAAACATGTACGTAGGTAGAATGTTTGAGAGGGAGATCCACATATCATTGTTTCTAAATTATTGGAATTCAATTTTTAATAATTACCAAGGCTTCCTGATACTTCCTTACTTAAAAACTAACATAAATACTAATGTAACACTAATCTAAATCCTAATGCTTGTTATAGTTGAAGAAGTTATTTAAACATTGTCTTTTTATTATATTGGCTTTTTATCCTGATATTTACCATGCCAACCGTCTGCTTCAGTTTGAGTCTTGTGGAGACATTTAATGCAAAATGTTTAAGCAGTTCCTGAAAAAGGCAATTTAGCTATCTCTTATGGAGAAGCAATAGCACTTCCACACTTTGAAGCAGATACTTCATACTTAATGAGAAACTAGCTTTTTGATTATCAATGAAAATGAACTCCAAGCTGACTGACTAACAAGCCTCTGAAAAATTGGTAGCATGTTTATGCTTAAAATGCTCTGCTAGAGGATGATCTTCTATTCTTCAAAGATTCAATCTGCAGTGAGTCTGCACAATTCAGATTTCAGGTTTCTTTGAGCAGCAGTGCCGGGGCTGAAAGTGGAAAGTCTGTTGATTTTGGTTTTATAGTGCTCTTTCTGAAACTGCCCAGGGCACATGAAAAGGACAAATACCAGGCTCAAATGCTGAGGTGAAGTGGCAGAGTAGAAGGAATGGACTGGGACATACAGGCTCAGTGAAAGGACAGGAGGGTGGATGCTGATGTAAGGGTCTGGGAGAAGGAGGTATAAAGAGACTGACAAGCAAGCAGGAGGTTGAAGGAAAAAAGTAGGGTCTGAAAATACATGGGATTGAATGGTGGCAGTGTAAGGGCAGAAGGATATGCTGAAGACATTGAATGTGAAATAGGACTGGTTGGGATTTAGTATGAGAAGCGTAAAGATTGGAAACTGGTGTGAAAATTAGGAACAGAGAAGAAGCAGAGATGGAAAGATAGATTTGGGGTAAAAAATTGAAACATCTGTACCATCTAGAACACACTCTCAGAAAAGTGGAAAGTACAAATGAAAAATCTGTGTCACTGTCACTACCTGGTTGAAACAAATTGCTATTTGCCAGTCTTTTCCTCCTTCAGTGATGGTCGTTGGATGGATATGTATATGTCTGGTAGTTTAGGAAGGACCATTTGCTTAAGGGAAAAGACCTGTATTATGATGCAATGGGAAGAAAACTTCTCTGAATTCTGAGTGTTTACAAACAAAACAGCAAAAATCAGACTGACACTGGAAAATAATCCAAGTCAGAGAGTGAGGGATACTGTTGGTTGTAGAACTGCTGCAGTATTTATTGCAGCAACCACATGGTTGTGAATGAGGCAGAGAATGTTTAAAGGAGAAGACAAAAAGTTACTCTTGTTGAAGGCAACTGTTGTTGCCTCTGAAGTTGGATTCTATCCTGCATCTTGCCTAGGCATCACACAGAAACTCTGTGGTGGTCATTTAAATCAGTTTTCACAAGTATGCCTCATTTTCTGGATGTCCAAATGAAGACTTTGAAGTCAGGTTACAGAGGTTCTGAGCTCTCACAGCTGCAAGTGAAGTCAGCAGGCACACTGGTTTTTTTTAAGTGCTATATAATGTTAAGTGCTCTGAAGAATAAGGTACTGCTTGTTTAAAACTGGCAAGGAAAATTTACCAAAACTTTTCCTCATTCTGTCTACATTTGCTACCCATTTATAATAGTATCATTTATTTTTTGGTTAGAATTTGAAAGTGAAGCATTCAGATGCTCTAAAGGGGTTTACCACAGAAATGCCAATGAGGAAATTAGAAAAATGTCTTCTCAGAATAATGTTAGATTAGGGTTCAATAATTAAAAACAACAGACCTGTTCACTGAACTAGGAAAAGAGAAAATAAGGGATGCTGTTACTATGAACACAATCCATCATTTGCATTGTATAATGCTGGAACTGTGAAAACTGTGGAATTGTGGGAAAAAATGCAACAATTATTTTTTCATACAATTGCAGACTGTATCACAAAGTAAAACAACAACTGTGATTCTTTTTGGGCAACATTTGTTCTGACAGTTCCCTAAACTTTGAAAGCTTGGCTTTACAGCTTTGATACAGTTTTTAAACTAAGTGTATGTGTGTGTATCTGTGTTTGATACCTGCCTGTATGCTTTTCATTATTGATCGAAGCAAAGCCTTACTTTCCCCCTTAAATTAAGAGCCTTGGGCCAAAATGTGGATTCATTTCTAGGGTGTACATATGCCTTTGCCTTTTTTGTTTTTGTGGCAAGCTGCCTGATCTGTCAGGATCTTTAAAATTTTCATTATTAAATTCATCATGGAAGAACCTGTAGTCATTGTTTTTTTGATGTGAAACAATTACATTAACTTACCGCCCACCAATTTTAATTTTCATCTTAATTTCTTTTTTACAGTGCTTTCCTCAGTCTGTGTTTGTTGTGTGTTTCAGTGCTGAGAGCTAACATTTAATAAATTCTTTCCTTCTTTTTTTTTAAACAGATCTAATTGTGGTAGTAGCCTCAATTATTGTTCTGAGCATAGGATCTAATGGACAGGTGTTTGCCACCTCTGCAATAAGGTATATTCTTCTAGTGACTGTAGCTCTTCACAACCATAGAGCTATATTAGATGTATATATAATTTCCCAATTTCCAAATTAGATGTGCATGTAATTTTCCTAATATAGGAAAAGCTATTCTATGAAAACACTGGACAGTGAAAGACCGTGTGTTATTGTGCTTGGTGACTGATTGGGAAACAAAAGTGCAGAAATAAGACATACGAAGAATGGTGTGAATGCTGAAGCCAAGAGGAGAAAACTGAAGAAACATTATGTCCTATATAAAACATCAAACAGCTTGCTCTCTAAGACAAAAGATTATTACAGAACATTGGTTTATTTAAGAAGTAATCCAGACAGCACTTAACTCAGTACTTTTTGAATACGAGTAATTACTTTGTTTAAAGAGTAATTATGCTTTGGTGGATTTGTTTGGCACAAGTAACTCATACCATACATGAACCAGAAACATTTGATGTCTAGTGTTTGTTCAGCTTGTGTCAAGTACTGCAAGCTTGTTTTTGGGAAGTGGGTTAATAGAAGAAAGGAATGATAAGCAGAGTACGTGTACTTACTACTCCTTCTAACTAAACTTGCAAGATGTGCTGCATTTTGTTACAAGCCTCTGATTTCCAGTGCAGTCTAATCACTGGGAAGTGAGAATGTACAGTACTGTCTAAACTGTCTAGCTGTGTAGACAAACACTGGAGGGAACTACATGTACAAAGTGTTTTTAAGGCAACTATTACCATAGAACATTAATCCTTACATGATGATAAAGGCTCACACAGGTAGCATGAATGTGATTTATCAACTCATATAGGAGAAGAGGAGGATGAATGTGAAAATTCCAAAGATTTTGTTAAATTTAACTAGAAGTGTGGGAAGGACTTTAATGAAAAGGCCCACTGTGTGTTTACATGTGAACCCAGGTGGCTTTGGACTCAGTGCAGCCTTTCCTGGTGTTAAATTATACAGTCACTGTCCTACAGCTCAGAATGCTTTCTGCCAGAGAAAACTCAACTCACATCTCTGCAGTGTTGTTATTGCCCCATCTGGGTCAGGCAAGTCTTAGTCCCATCAGGTTTCCTCAGAACAGTGATGTGAGCGGCCGGTTTTGAATTAGGAAGGAATGACTCTTATATCCTTGCCTTTGCTTTTGTTTCTTTTAAGGTATACTGTTATGGTCCTCTTTGGACTGCCCTTAAATCCCAGCAATCTCAGAAAACATGGGTGCAAACATGTTAGGTTTTCTTGTAGAATGAAGTTGCAAGATCCAGACCTATCAGGTACGACAGGCTGATATTTTCATCCCTGCAGCAACCAGTGAGACGGAAACCTAGCAGCACTATAGAGTTCGCAGCAGAGTCCTACAGTCCTCCTGTCCTTACTGTTTTATGTTTACCAATTTGATAAAAATGGTCTTCTTTCCAACCAATTTCTTTTCTCTTTTCAGAGGAAATGGGTTGTGCATGTTCAGAGGCTGTGTATCTGGAGTTTCTTGTTCACTCTTTTCTTTTTTAAATCTTTATTTGTAAAACTGCCAGCCTATAACATGCATTTCAGCACTTGGCAGTAACATAGACACAACCATCTTAGATACAAGAGAGACAGGAAAATCAAGAACTGCTATTGGGTTGAGGGATCAAGAGGTGTGTCTAATAATTGTACAGGAGAACTACGTGTAACTCTCTCCCTTCCTGATATAAGCAAGCAATGAGCTATTACATTATGTAAGTCTATTGATGCTCATGTATTTGGTAGTCTCATAATAATTCTTGGACTCGTGTTTTAATTAACAGGTTTTAAGTGGATATTTTTCCAGCTAATTAAAATTATTATTCCAATGGCATATCAGAGAAATAACAAAACATGGTGTTCATATACCCAGTCACTGATATGTGATTTGATAGTCAGGATTATTGTGTGCTTTCCAAAACAATGACAAGCAATTGATTGTTTGACTGTCAGCTGTGAAAGCTCAGAAAACCTGCTTTCTGAATAAAGAAAAAGTTGTGTCTTTCAGAAAACAGTATGCCTTCCCAGGGACTGAGAATGGCACCATGCTGAGTTTCCTGCCTATTGGTGTAACCCAGAAAAATGCAGCCACAGTGGAGTTGAAATAAGAAGATTGAATTAAAAAACAAGAACTACAACAACAACATTTTAAGGATCGCTAAAAAGAGCTAAAAATACTTTTAGTGAAAAATTTTCAGATAGATGAATTCAGCATTCATCCTTTCCTTCTCTTCACTGTTTGTTTTTTTCAGCGATAAGATAGTAAGATTGAGTGTAGGCAAACAAAGTTCATTGTCGAAAGAGTGACTAGAATTAAATATTTCCATTGAATAAAATTCTGCTGAACAATATGGATAATTATTTTTCTTTAGTTGAAAATACTTGGAGTTTATGATTCAGTTATTGTCCTAAAATCACCTAGGGCTGCATCTATTTCCAATTAGATGATATCTATAACTTACACAAAAAAGACTTCAGTAATACCATGTTTGAGTCACATTCTGCTTTTGGCAAATAGAGAAAAAAGTTTGTTCATATTTATGTTAGCAAAACTTGAAGCAATGGTTTTGCTTGGAAAGGGAGTATTTGAGAATCATCAGGTAAAATATGCAAGTTTCCTCTTGAGTTTGAAAGCATATATGTTAGACTTTTTTCTTTTAACTAGTTGTCCTAGTCAATATTTCTGAATATATTTGAATATAATGAAATGTGATCTAAACATACCATCTACTGAGATGCCTCAGGTCTAGGATGCAACCCTAGCCAGGGGCAATGCCATGAAAGTTCTCTAATATAGCAGTATGTTAGAGAACGTAGTCAACTATGTATAGATAGGCAAGTTCTGTTCTCAATCATTAGTTTTATTTAATGTCCTGTTTTTCTTACAGGGGGATCCGATTTCTCCAGATACTTCGCATGCTTCATGTAGATCGACAGGGTGGCACTTGGCGACTATTAGGATCAGTTGTTTTCATACATCGTCAGGTACTAGATCTTTAAAGATCCCCAGCATTTTGTTTACTTTAGTGTATTCTTTTCATGGACTTCAAATCGTAGTCTGGTTTAAAAGAACATTTACTGTTGCAAGAGGAAAAAAATACTGTAAAAGTGCATCATGTGTTTCTTTCTACTTTAAAAATGGGAACGCTATTCTTTACTTCAGGTCAGTAGCTAACAGGGTATCAATATAAGTTGTGGTTTTTTAAATTAACTGTTGTACTCTTTGATGTTATCCTTCAATATAATTTATTAAATGCAATTATGTGGGCTGCCTTTCATATTACAAATACTGTCCATTGTCTTCACGGAAGATGTGTTCCTAGCTTGGTTGTTCTGTGGAAAAGCGAATGCTAGCGGAAAAGCCTTAATAGAACAAGTCAATTATTTAAATAATTCTATTTTCTCTGCCTGAATAAGGAGTTTTCTAATCCATTCTATAAATAAAAATACTAAGTATGTTATGATGCAAGAAATGTTACTTTTTCAAGGGTGTAGTCACAGACGTAAGCTTGGCTGTAAATGGTTATATGTCCATTAAAGCTTTGAAACAGTTATTCTGTATAAACATTCATTAAGCAGGAAAAGCTTAAATGTTTTAGTGCCAACTTGTAAAAATCTCTAGCTGAAGGCTTCTTTTGGGGGCTTCATGGAATCGAACTAAGCTGACTTAGCTTTAAACATAGTTACAAACTTTTATCATTAGCATTTAAATCTTGCGTATGATACCATACCGTGGAAGGCTAATACTGTGCTATGAATCTTTACTTAAGACTTGTCTGTGTGGATCTTTAACCTGCTCTTTATGGATGTAGATTTGTTCTCCAGATATTGACAAATAGATTAGTTACAGATTTCCACACAGACATCGTTTCATTTGCTATTTAGAAAACTGTTGTTCTGGAGCAGAGGATGGGAAGTACTTAATCCAAAAGATTAAGTTAATACTAAAAGTTACTTTTCCTCCCTTTATTTTTTCCCCCAGTACTGTAGGAAATTTTATGTCACGATGGCTGTGGAGCATTGATAATACAGAAGATCCAATCTGAAATAAATCTTTTTAAAGTGCTCTAGTATAAAACCTACTTTCATGCTCTACAACAGGATGGCATTTAATGCTCCAAGTCTGTGTGGTCTTCATTTACTATGGTTGCATTGCCTGGATATCTAGCTAGGGCAGAGCTGGTATCCAAATACACTTTCTCAACATTTGCTAACCTTACTGACAGAGGTGTTTGAGAGATTTTTTTCCTGTGGGTGTTCAGTCAACAGTCAAGAATCTGGAAATACTATCTCCAAAATATAATACCTAAGTCTTAAAAGTCACAAACATAAATGAGTTCAATAATTTGAAAGGAAAAATAATATCCTTGGAGAAGTGAATTTATGAATAAAGGCACCTGAAGTTCTGCTAATCCAAAGAAGTGATTATGATGATACATAAAAATCTACAGATCTGTAGTACTTGTCAAAGCAGATCACACACTAACACATTAATAAAAAAAAAAAAACCAAACACACAGTTCTGTATTGACATTGGACAAGTGTAGCTGAAACCCTAGCATAGTACCAAATGGAAGGGAAAATGGAACCTTTATTCCTGTCCAGTCTCTTAAAGAAATTTTTGTTTAAAAAACCCCAAAACAAAACAAAACCACCTCAGCTGCTTTTTCTTTACAGGCAGGGTATAATGTCCTCATTTATTTGTTGAGTTTGGTATTCTTTCAGAAAGAATGGGACTTTAAACCCTTAAACAATGTGAGAAAATAAATTCACGTCTTTGTGACCTGTGAAAATAACAAGCACTTGAACCTCAGTGGGCCCAGAAGAACTTACTAAAGTTGTCACCAGTGATTTCCATGTGTTTTGGAATTTTACATATAGCTGTGTTAGCTCACTCAGGCCTGATTTGGCTTGGATGCTCTTCTATTTTCAGCAGGTTGAGCTTATACAAGCATTTCTTGCCAAAAGCAACAAAACATGAGTCAATATCACATGTGGTGGTGGAAAGACATGGAAAAATCATGCAGCTTACTGAAAAACTGAGTTAGCCAATCCAGCTTGTAAGCCTCTTAATTAGTTTTACTTATTCCTCACCTTGCTTTGTGAGGTCTTCTACTGCTTTGAGTTACTGATGACTTGTGGATTTCGGGTTTTGCTGTATTTTTACTAAGTGTTCAATTTTATATTGCGTGGTCCTTATTGTCACTGAAAATATAAATCTGTCTACGTTAAAAAAATGTGTTGACAGAAGTCTCCAATATTCACATTTACTTTTGTGCATATTTGTTTTTTGTTTTTGATATTTCCTTTGCATATATGTATCTGAAAGTCCTTGCTGAAAACAGTCATTTGTATTAGGCAGCACTCTTTATTCTTAAACTCTTATCTATTAAAAATTAATATCAATCTGAAGTTTTAAGGCCTGATTTCTGCAACATGCTTTTTGCTTTGAGATCATATATGAATTCCTACTATTTGGCATTGGTAGACACTACTCTATCCATATTTCTGAAGCATGTATTATTTTAAAATCTTCTGTGCTCTCTCTTAAATCTAGTATGTATTAGATTGCTTCCATTATTCTTAATAATTAAATATAAGCATGTAGTATTTTGTCTCTCTATACATAACATGGAGTGACATTTAGAATAAGCCTAAGGCAATTACGTTTGCATCTGGGCTTTACTTAAAAAGAGTACAGTCTTTAGACGAGTAGGACGAGTAGGACTGGAGCTGAGAGGTACAAATGGTGAAATAACCTGAGTAGTTCTGTTGATACTTCAACTTGTTTGAAAAGGATCTCATAAGACTGTGCATAGCACTTCTGAAAAGTGTATTTGTCTGCCCACTTCTCAAAAAGCAAGCACTTAACACAGAAGTATTCCAGTTATCATCCAGTCTCTAATTCTGTCCTCTGAGGTAAAATTAAAAGAAAGGAGTGATGGCATCACTCACAATAAGATGTAAAATCTATTAATATCTGAGATGTAATCAACATGCCAAGTGTAACTAAAAGATTTCTGTTGATGTGGAAGGAATTCACAAATCTACTAGAGATGAAAGTAGAGTGTTTTCTTTGCTAGCAGGCAACAAGAATTAGTCTCCATTTCTGTTGTAGTTTTCTATGGATCACTGAATTTACATTCTCAGGTGTTAAACAGTTTAATCTTGCATTGAAAAAATATTGTGTAGGCAAACCAAAAAGTTATGAAAACTTAGAGAAATGCAAATAGTCAACTATAGATATAAACATAAGGAACTTTTCAGAGCAATGAAGTCATATCCACAAGTACACAGCGTACCATTATCATTAGAAAAAAGATGAGAAAAGAATGATGACCAGTGTAGAAATCTGAACTACTGAAAAGCCAAGTTTTAGTTCCTCTTTCAGCTGCCTTGTTTAGCAAACAGGTCTGCAAATGTTAAGGCTTAGATTAAAAGACTTGCCCATAGGCAAAACTGAATACTATCAAAATTCATTATTTAGGTCATTATTAAATGATTAGAGAAAAAACACCTACTTTGCTTTGTGCCAAGATTGCTTAAAAACTTGCTGAAGCTAGATTTTAATTAGTGCTATAATAGAAGGAAGAGTATGTATAGTTTCTGCAGCTAAATGTAGTTACTAGCTACCAGGACTACATTTTCCCAGAAAGTTCTTGTAAGGAAATGAAAAGAAAGAAGAAAAAAAAATCTGAAGGAAGCTTGATGATAAAACCTGAGCCTTCCCTCACAAACGGTTTAAGAAACGTGGGTGGAATGTTACAGAAAATCTGCAAAAACCTGACATACTTTATAAGTAGAGGCAATCCTTCTTAGGCAGGTTTTAATTTTAAATTTATCTCATGGGAATATTTTAATTCCCGTATTGGTTTCGATCCAAGGAAAGAAAAATAACTCTGTCAAGAATTTAAGGAAGATGCCAATGTACTAGTAATACTACAATGTGGAGTAGTTGTAGTTGACTATAGTAGTAGTGCTACTACCATACTACTACAACTACTACTATAATGAAGATGGCTAAATATGTGCAAAGAAAATAAAGGAATAATATGTGTTAACTATTGAAGCATTGTAAACTTTAAGTAATTAAAATAAGCTATTTTCCCTCATAATTAGGTATTGGATTTTCCTGAGGGGTAGGTGAATATCCCATTTGATTATGACATAATGCTGTTTTGATAAGTGTTACACATTTTTGCATCTGTGACACCACACGTTTTGGCTTGTTTAAATGTACAAGCACGTTTTTCCTGAAGACTCTAACTGTCCTGTATCTAAATTGCATCAGTTCTGATACAACTTTCCTATCCAAAAATCTATGGAGAAACCCATACATTCACAAGCAGTGTATCATGCCCTAACAAAAGTTGCTGCTAATAAACTGACCTAGCCTCAAATAGTCTTTGTTTTTCAGGACTGAAGTAGAGGTTACACCTACCTAATTTTTTATCTTAAGATTTGATTTTATCTTAACATGAAACTGTTAAAGCATCAATATTCTGTCTTAAGCAATCTAAATATCAGGTACATAAATTCATGGCTTAGATATGGTCATAGAGTGCATTTCTAAAGCTGCTTTAGTATTTTTAAAATGTATTAACATTTGGTATTTTGAGTGGATAGTTAAATGGAATGATTCCCATTCACAAGATATAAAACATGAGAGATGTTCCACCCTACATTTAGCTGTCCAGATGATTTTGTATAAATGATGGCTTCTTGAATTCTTTAGTCTGATATGAATAGAAAACAAGTCACTGACCTACCTGGTTTACTGGAAGCAAATTTCATACCTGAAATATAACTTACTAATTTTTCTACTGTGATGCAATTCCCTCCAGATATTTACAATGTTTTACAGTAATAGAACATACATTATGTAATCCTTATGTACTTCTTTTCTTTCTCTTTTGATAGGAACTCATAACCACGTTGTACATTGGGTTCTTGGGATTAATTTTTTCATCCTATTTTGTTTATCTTGCTGAGAAGGATGCAGTTGATGAGGACGGAAAGACAGGTTTCTCCAGCTATGCTGATGCCCTTTGGTGGGGTGTGGTAAGTATTTACTAATAAAATGTATGTGCAAACTTAGTGCACAAGATTTTCTGTTGAAGTTGTGATCTTTTAAAAAAATCTAGCATGTTTTTCTTTGCAGAACATATTTCTGTAGGGATGCTCGACAACCTTTTAAAAAGGATACAAGAAAAATTATAATAAATAGCATTAAATTATTTTGGTATTAAACTTAATTGTGAAAGCATGATAGCTGGTCCTTAGCAAAGGACATAGAATGTTTACAGATACAAAAAGTCCACACTGAAATCCGCATTTCAAAAAGACTATAAATACCCTCCAAAACCTATGCTGCTTCTTTTAAACTCTACTTAATTATCTGCAAAAGGTTCATAACTTTAAAACTATATTCTATTTGTGGAAGTTGGGTTAATGACCCAATTTTTTTGGATCTTTTTGTGTAAAGCTCACTCAGTAATAATGCAGACTTTGATGCAGGTTACAAGTTCCTGTTTTTTTTTATATGATTCACTGTAAAGGTAAATATCTCCACCTAAAGCAGCTGGCAAAGTTTCACAAATTCAACTACTTTGGATATCAATCATCAGTCACAGTCAGTGCAAATCTTTGGTGAAATAAAGAAAAAAATATCGTTAAGGGGGAACTGGGATTATGAAAGCATAGTGGTAATTATTGTGTGCATGCCCAGAATCAGTTGAAAATGGAATAGATAACTATGAACAGAGTAAGAGACCAAATTGTTTCTACATTCCCTTCATATGGCTCTTCTCATCATGTTTGTCACTGTGACTCATGCTTTCCCTCCTTATTAGCTGTTGCACGAACCATCTCTTCTGTTGTGGTCCCTTTTCGCCACTAGAGAACCTCATATATTTTATGAGATGGCTGTCTCATTATAACAAACCCAGGGAAATTCATCACATCAGTGTTAGTGACAGAGAAAAATGAGAGATCTAGAGCAGATGCAGAGCCATCATTTTCCAGAGAGAGAAGGATACATTTCAACAGTGGTTTGAAACACAATAAACTGAATTTGTTCTTAGATTATATACTTGGAAAATGCCAATATAGTTATTGGGCCATAAACCAATTGTTTATCTGCATCCAAATAAACTTGTAAGTCTCAGATGACAGACAAAAAGTTCCTACTAGGTATATGTTTCTAATCCTTAACCTGGATGCTCCATAAGCCTCTACTTCAATGAAGTATACAGGAATATAGATTATATTACATGTACCCTGAGTTACTACTTTTTAAGTGGTTCAGTATAAAAATCCTTTAAAAATTATGTTCCTGTCATTAGGTTGTCAGGTATTCATTTAATTTGCAGAGTATATAATTTAATTATCCAGAGCCACCTATGGCTGCGGAAAACAGTACAAACCAAGAAGAATCTAGTAAAAAAGAAAAATCCACTAAATGGGCAGATGGACCTGATTACCTAATGTGCTCAGGAGAAACGAAACCATGGACTAGCCCATACAACAATCACTTCTTAAAGTCCTCAATAGACATATGATAAAATTTTCAGAACATAAAACCTCATGGTTATAGACGTGAGATAACCTCTAGGTGCTGCAGGAAAGGAATAAATGTCCCAGAAGCACAGATTGTGCTATATTTTAAAAGCAAAAGTAAAACAATTAGCGTGTAATTGATATTATGAAAGACACCCCATGTCTACTTTAAGAAAACAAACCAGTACACAGGCTCACTTATCCTGCTATTATTTGAGCAGTTCAGCTCAAATACCAGTGTTTAAATGCCTGAATGCAGTGGAACACAGCTACTGTTTCTGTTTTTACTAATAGTCTAGCTACTAATAGTCTGTGAAGTACATTTAATTAAAAGTGGGCATGCTTGTGGGAACTTCAGCAGCATTAGGGGCTTCCATAAAAGTTTGTGCTAGTTCAGCTAAATCTATGAGAAATATCTCATAAATTTTTCTAGCATAGTGAAGTTCCGATTTTTGTAGCACCATGTGAATTAGAATGACACCAGTGAAAGGAATGGAAAGCATATAGTTTATTAATAAAGAAATCTTAATTTGATATGTAATCATTAAAGGATGGTGATTCATGTTTGCTCTGCACAATGTTTTTGGTGTTTTGTAATGTAATTCCTAGGCCTGTAACTGCAAAAGGCCAGAAATGCCCAAATTCAGTCCTGAATAGAAGGGAAGAAGAACTCCTTATCAAACTGGGGGAAGAAAGGTACAGTAGAAAACAAAAAAGGATTTTCAGCAATCAGTTTGGGAACCAGCTATGGTTTTCAGCATCCAGTTCTGCCCATGTATATTCATGCATGGGTTATTCCTGCATGTAATAAAACGTCCATGTGAAGCCAGTGTACTTTTTCTGCCTTTCCTTCTTTTTTTTTTTTTTTTTTAACTCTAGTGATCCAGAGCTTGCTTTATGAGTTGCATTGAATGTTTAGTTGTGGGTTACAGAATATTTTTAAATGCTAGAAGCTACAGACTTGATTTGAGCAAAGAGTAAAAAATTAAGGTCAAAAAAGTCAGGATGTGTTTATACAGGCATATTTTGTTAATATTTTGGACTTAAAGAATTTAAAAGGACATCAGTTATGAAGACCAACAGATAAGTTTAAACTGTGCATTACTTTACCTTGTTGAGACGGATGACTTGGAATCTGTATTTCAAAGTGTATGTAGATGCCTTGCAAAGTGTTCAATGGGTTTTGTTGTTTTCCAAAACTTGACTTGTTTTGTGTAATAGCAAGATAAAATCAGCTTTGTCTTTCTCTAGCTGTGTGAGGCACATGAAGAACACTGTTTAAATTGTTGTTTAAGCTTTTCAGACATCTAGGACTCCTCAGCATTAGTGAGTCACCGTGCAGGTGCAGTTCACAGCTGGGAACAGTGACAAAGGACAAAGTGAATCAGTTTTTTCTTCTTTTCAAATCTTCTGTAACATAGAAACACAGATGTGGAGTTACTAGGGAGTGAAACTGGATTTCACTTTTGCCTTTCAAAACTGAACCATAGGAAAAAAAATCTTGGTAACAAGTATTTGAAAGTCTTATGTGTCTGACAAAAACCACAGAGTATATTATGGGTAACATTTTGCTTTGAGTAGAAAGTGCAAGCTTGCTGAACTTGATACAAATGACCTGAAAGGTTTAAATATGAAGAAAATGGAAAATAAAGAATGAATGAGAGTTGGAATTAAATGCTAACTACATTCACCCGCTCCAGTTAAATGCAAGGTTGTTTCACCTAGATTTGGCAGGCACACAGATTAAACTGCAAAGACATATCAAAGGCTTGTGGTATTTTACATGAAGCTACTTTCAGAAGTTATAGCATGTTAGAACACATGCAAAAGCATTTCCAACAGCACTGTCAGTCTGCCAGAATTGCAACCAATGTCACAGCAGTTTTTCTGTCCTTTCTGGGTATTTTTTCTTGAGGAAAGAAGAAGGGCATGTAGGAGGCTTCTCTTCTGTGGCACTTCCTTGCTCGTTTCTTGCTGTTGGAAATGCTTATTGTTTTTGCTGCAAACTGGACTGTTCTGTACCATTGAACTTGAGTTAAATAGTTGCTCCAGTAAATTGGTGTTAACTGGCAGAGGTAGTTGGGAGCAATTGCTCAGAATTTCCAGTAGTAGATTTCCATGCCAGAGGTAGCAGTTTGAACCCCTTTATATTTAATATGTTTTTTGAGGTGTGCTGTTCTGACTTTTCAAACTTCAGGACACCTGCCTATCTTAAAGCATGTGGAAGCTGTTGACTTCCACTAAGTTAGAGTTCTTCCTTTTCTGAAGTGCCCATATATAAGTTTTCAGAGCCTGTATTAGAGCATATGCAAAACAGCTGGAATGTGCCATAGTAAATCTGTGTTACAAAGTAGGTGTCATTTTCCAAAGCCTAGTTATTAAACAATCTCTGAGCAGATAACTAATAACTTTTGGATATACAAGTAGAAAAAGATTCTGGTTGTGATTAAGAAAGCCAGAGAATTACATTATTTATAATCCTTTCCACATACTTCAATGCACTAATTAGATTACCAAGAAGGAGCCCTCTTAAGGTAGCCGGGGAGAAACTTTCTGAGACATGTTCAGGCACCTGCAGGAATCTGCCAGCCAAATGCCTGCTGCAGAGATGGAAAATCATCTTTTCTGTGGTTACAGCTTTCATGCTGTCTTCCATAGTAACGCTAAGGCGGCTCAACATTACTGCAGTTTGTTTTTTAAGTCCTGAGTGCTGGAGAACTCAGAAAAAAACAACCCCAACAAACCACCATCCACCCCACAAAAAAACAACAACAACAAAAAAAACCAAAACAAGAAGCCTTTCATAAGAAAAAAAAGAGGAAAAGGAAGGAAAAATCCCAGACTTTAAAGGGTCATCTGGGTGCACTGAGGAGCTGAAGTGCTGTTAAAGAAACACTGCTTTAACTTCCTCGCCTCCCCACTAATGCATACTCCATTTCATTTGAATTTTGGAGGGTCTCGTTTAATTTTGGGGGCTGGAAAACTCATCTGTTTGTACTGCTGGTAGTATACAGCACCTGAGTCACTTCATGGGCTAAGGCACATTAAATCTGGACAAATACTTGGCAAGACAGAGCTCCTTCTCAGAGGAGTTTGCAGTTCAAAATAACAGTATTCGTTAGAGGATATAGATAACTATAAATTTGACTTCATCAAGTGAGAAATTAGTGATAAACACAAGCCTAATTTTTTTTTGAACTTGGAAAAAGTCAATTTTGATAGTTAGTAATTTTTTCCCTGCAAATCTTCCCTCCAGCTCTCTGTAGAACTGCTCTGAGAAGGAAATGTATTCTTCCCATGCCTTCACTGCTGATAGTTTCTTCTCAGAAGCCTATTTTTGCATAATATCTAAGTATTTGTTAGCAGCTTTTCCCATAAAAGGCAGTATTTCCACATCTTCTTTTGTAGTCAGTGTAAATTTACATACTCTTTTAAGTCTCTTTTGGCTGTATTTTTGCTACCATTCAAGGCAAAAGTGAGGGGAGTGGAACTGGGTTTAGGGCTGGTGCTCCCAAAGAGAAGTACATTTTTTCTATTTAAAGCTCACCCCAGTGGTCGGTATTGGTGAACAGAATTCTTCATTTTCCTCACCAGAAGCTTTCCATTTCTCAGGGGTGCAAGTCATCTTTCTCATACCATTTAACGGCAGTTTCAGGGCTCTGAGTATACTAAAAAGCTAAATGGCTCTGACCAGCCACCCCTGGGGCCACCCCCACACCCGTGGCTTCTACTTGATCTCAGCCCTGCCTGAGCTGTGCTGGAGGAGAGTTGGTTTCCAGCTCAGCCATGATCTGGTGATCTGGAGCTCAATGTATGGGCTGACCTAAACCTAAACCTCAGACTTACCTCATCACCTTGATATTGCTATATGATTTAGACTCTTTGTTGGACATGGCCACTGTCTGTGAGTCTATCCTCCTATCGAGCTGGGCCCAGGGTGGTGAGGCCCCTGTCTGGCCAGCTGTGGGATTCCCTTGGTTTGCCTTGGGATCACCTTCTTCTGCTGGGGAGCCAGCTGGCCCTTGTTACATTACAGACCCCTTTGATGGACCAGCCTTCACCTGGACTCTGATTCCTGCCAGAGTACCAACCCTTTACTGGCCACTGGGCTCCTAATGAAGTCTCTTCCAGCCTGCTGGGGCTGATCAGGAACAGCCCAAAATCTCTGTCCCACTCAGGCCCTCCTTGCCTCTGTGGCTTTTCAGGGGTGGCTGACATGCCAACAGTGATTTAGTCCATCCACAGCAAGTCCCTACTGATCCCAGACCTGTGAGAGGACATGCATTGCTGAGAGAGGAGGCTGTTGTCATAGCCCTGAAGGCACTAATTGGCCTAATGACCCTGACCAGCATCACTTGTGGCTTCCACCCACACCCAGGGGCTCTATTTAAGTGCAGCACTCCCCTAGAGTAGAGGTGGTCTGCAGCTCAGCTGCAGTTGGGTCCCATTAGCTGATTTCTTGGCTTTGTCTCATCCCTGTGGATCCATGTGCTGACCACTGGACCTGATCCTAACCCTGACCTGTGAGTGGATTTCCTGTTTTGATGTTGGACCTGCCTCGTTCCTGTGGTATTGCTTGGTAATCTAGACTCTTGGTTAGACCTGGCTGTTCTTTCTGCATGTGTTTTGTTTGGGTGCTGCGGGACTAGGTCCTGACTGGGGAGGCACTGCTCTGTTGGCTACATAATCTTCCTTCCCTCTGGATCCCCTGTTCCTTAGGGGGTATCTAGCCCTTGCTGCACCCTGGTAAGCAATGAGCAGAGCCAAGTAGTGTAATATGGTGCGTCCTGTGGCTGAAGTGCAGTTTTGAGTGGCAAAGAACTCTATGGGGGTTAAAAAAAAAAAAATGGAGTATGGGACTGAAGCTCTTGGTCTACTGGGATTTTCTTTTTTGTGTAAGTAAGAATGGCTGTGTGTTTCTCATCTTGCTGTGAAGGTTCAGCTGGGATGGTGTTAGTTTTGTTCCTTTTCCTTCCTGCTAGTACAGGGCATAGCTTACCCTGCCGTAGCTAATGTTTCTGTCTGACTGCGGATTTTGGCAGATGCCTGTGTGTTGGTTGTGAGCAAGTCAGCACTTTCAAGGCTTTCTTCTCAACTCTGTGGAATTACATTTTAAAAGCAAAAGCAGGAAAACTGCAAGATTATGGTTTAAAGCTAACAGGGCCTTTCCTTATGGTTTTGGGAGGGTGGAAGCAGCTAGCTACGAACTGTGAGAACAGTCATCCTGGGTACAGGCTACTGTTGCATCCAAAACAGTGGCCAGCTGTGAATGTCTGCTGAAGAATGTAAAAACAGGATAAATTTGCAGTGATGGTCAGCATACTTCTGTGGTTTCCTTATGCATAAATCCAAATGTGTTGATCTGTGTGTATCTCCTGATACTTCTCTACTTTTTCTTTCTCTTTTCCTGTTTTTGAAGGGGGGGTGAAAGGTTCTGCATTGCAGTGGATGAGATGTTTGTTTCTGGCCTAGGTAACGGTCACAACGATTGGTTATGGAGACAAAGTTCCCCAGACGTGGATTGGGAAGACAATAGCTTCCTGTTTCTCAGTATTTGCTATATCTTTCTTTGCTCTGCCAGCGGTAAGTGGAACTTGGACCACTTTAAACTCTCTAACTTGGGCTTACGACTGGGTAGTTTTAAATTGGTGCCTTTTGGTAGGAAATAATGGGGTTGGATGTTGCTTCAGAATGTGCACATCCTTGAGTGTATGTTTGTGTGTCTGTGAATGCTAACACACAAGTGAATGAAACTGCTGTATTTTTACTGCACTCATTCTTGAGAGATGTGGCCTAGAAAGGAGGTAAGAATAATTTTCACTTTGAGAACTGAAGCTATTCTGTGAGGTAAAGAGGGGTGGGTGGATTTTTTATCGGCATATTGGTGCCAGAGGTGAAACTTATTTAATTTCTGCTATTTTGTGATTACATAAGAGCAATTTGGGGTCCTGAGAGGAAAAGGAACACTGCCGTGAAGCACAGGTCTAGGAAACTGCATCTTCTTTTCTACATGGTACTATGTAGAAAAGAAATGGAGATGCTAAAACTATAAAAACGGATCTTTGGCTTTTTTGTTCAGTTAGCCTGGAAAAGCAAACTAGGTTCTAGCTTTACTTGTGGGGTTGTTTTTTGTGGCAAGGAATTAAAAGTAAGTACAAAGAGTACACATAGATCAGTCATGTGACATTAGTATTTGCTTCTCCCACCATTTTGTAGGGTTCCTTTTGGAACGTGACCGCCTCTGAGTGATGTTACCTGTAGATCACAGCAATAAACACATGCTGTTTATTGAAGTTACATAATAACAATATCAATGTGTTCAATTTCAGATCTATTCATTGGAATAAATAGAACTCTGTTACTATGGACATTTGAAAATTTACAACTTTTCTGGTTCTAGAAAGTGCTTTATAAAATGTCTGTTTATTTCATATGCTAAGTATTTGGTTTAGGCATATGAAGCCATATTGGAGTCTGACTAGTAATTTTGGTTATATTTAGGGTATTCTAGGGTCTGGCTTTGCCCTGAAAGTACAGCAGAAGCAACGTCAGAAGCATTTCAACAGACAAATCCCAGCTGCAGCTTCTCTAATTCAGGTAAGGCTCTTAACAGTAAAATGCTTAGGAGAGTATTGGAGAGGAAGTGTGACTTAGTAGTTAAAGTACTGAAAGTCGCGGTTGCTAGACTTTATTATAAATCTGTAACTTGTGTTTAACCACTTTGTCTTTTTGATCTACTTCAGTAACTAGAGAGATAATTGCCTGTCCTCCCTCTTATAAATGAGCATAGGAGGCTTTACTAACTTGATATTTGCAGGCATAATGACACAAACAGCATGCAATGAGTCTATTTGGTGAAATAATAATAATAAAAAAATCCTTGTTAAAAATCTTTGTTATAATCTTTAATTCCTAACTTCCTTTTTATACTCCCTTAGGTCCTAGGCACCTGCCAAACCTTGAGGTGATGAATGTGTATAGATACACATGTATATGCACACCTCGGTTTAGAAAAATGTCCCAGCATGACATTTTATATTAATATATAAAGAATACATGTGGTACACAAATGTTAAAATGTGGTACACTGCAGAAAAAGGGAAACAGCAGTACTCTATGATGCTTGTGGGGACTTACCTTTAAAAGGGTTTGTGGTGGTGTGTGTGCTGTGGGGTTTTTCTTGTTGTGTTCTTTTTTTTTTTACTTTGGGCAGTGTTAGACCCCAGCTCCTAGGTACAACACTACAAAGAGTGTACTTAAGATCTCTGTGTGCTGTCTGTATGTTTCCTGGTGCAAATTACACTCCCCAGTTATATACCAGGAAGAGTGTATTTTATTAGACATGGTGTTTTGTGGTATAGCACAGTGATTGCAGTCAGAACCCTTTGCAGCATGTTTACATTAATTGAAGTTTTTGCTGTCAGTTTGATTTGCAGCTAAATCTGACTGACTTGTCCTGCAGGACAACAATGACTGCTTATTCACTGAAATTGTTGGGTTTGGGTTTTGTTATAGACTCTGTGGCGGTGCTATGCAGCAGAGAAATCCTGCAGTTCTACAGCGACGTGGAACATCTACGTTACATCACCAATGCAAAACCCCCAAAAAACACCAGCGCCATCTAGCCCTAGCCTGAGAAAACAGGTAACAAGGGTTGGCAGAGCTCTATTCTGTCCTTGCTTTTAATTTGATTGGGATAATTTGCCAAAGTACTGGTGAAGTGTCCAAAGAATTTGGAGAGCCGAAAGGCATTTATAATGGGGAATTCTATTGTTTTCCTCATGCCACAGCATGATTGGTTTAGTTTTCCTTAGTATATTCCTGAGGGACAAATGTCATCTATTTTTAAATTTTGGGGGGGGTCAGACAGGTATCAATTCTCCATTGTTTTTTTTCCCTTTGAAGTTTCTATGTTCTCAAGGGTGGTATAACTCAGTGGTGTTACTTTCTCATTTTTGTATTCATTTTGTGTAGTAGCTCATACAGGAAGAAAGAGGAATGCTAGTTTAAAAATGCATGTTCACATTCAACATGTGGCTGACCAGTATCTACACTTTTCTTGCTCAAGTACTTCTCTCCATGGTACTTTTATATGGGGCTTGCATGTAGAAATTGGGGCAAATTCCTGAGCTGTGGCTGCAGTAAAGTGGAGTAGCGTTTGTCTACACATGTGGGATTGCCTAAATGTAGTTACGTAGTTTCATAGGCGAGCTTGCCTAGTCCTCAGCACTTTTTTTGTAAAGGCCCCAGGTCTGCAGCAGGTCTAGCTCAGACACCCGGGCTTTCTAAAGTGATGTTAGAGGACTGGTTTTAGGCAGTGAAATTCCACTGATGCCTGTTGCCCAGTGAAGAATTGCAGTGTGATTTCCCCACAGCATGTGTAGAAAGCTGTATTGGTATGATCTGTGCACATATATATGTTTGGTGTTACAGTAGTGCTATCTGCTCTGTGTTGAGCAGAGTGTAACTTTGCCATGAGACTAGCCTCTTTATAACTAGAGGCAGAAAAACCAGGAGGAAAGGGATAAGGCTGGGTAGTATGTGTTGCTGAACAGCAAGCAATCTGTGGTGGGAGAGCTGGAAAAAAAATACAGTTTTTAGTGCCCTTAGTATCTTCCCTCTGTTTTTGCTAGTGAGAGGAATTTCTCTAATATATTATTAAACCTGAACTTCCTTGTGAACTGCTAACACCAATGAAAGAACATAGTAATGGTTCTTTCATCTCTTATCAATGGATCATCCTCTCTTGTCAAGGGAGACTAGTTCGTTCTTTCTCTACCTATCCTCTTAATCTAAATACTGAAATGTATACTGATCATGTTGTAGCATTTTGTTCTCCAGAGAATTCCTAGTTTCTTTTCCTTCTGAGAGCCCATACTCTTTGCCTTTAGAAACATTTTGATGCATGGTAATGCATCCACTGGCTACAATAAATGCCCACTTCTAACATTTTTTTGTGCCCTATTTGATTAATTTTGAACATACTCCTGTTTAACTTCTTCAGAACTGAGGAATGAATTCCAAAAGACTGAATGCAGACCATAATAAAATAAGAATTGGTTTACTTAGGCTGAGTAGCAGTGTCCCATTTGTGAATATATTGAGCCTGCAGCTGTTTGTGTTGATGTGTGCAAACACTCGTTCTCTCTGATGTTTATCTCTGCTAACTGCTTAGTGGTCACATCAGAGGCCAGAGTATTTTGCAGAACTGAGAGCAGTAGCCCTAGATCTCAGTTCCTTGTCAGAAGGTTACTGGAACATCAGGCAAACTAAAGTATGCCTCTTACCTCCGTGTTGGGGTGTGAGAGAAGTAGAATCAGGTGGGACTAGAGCCAAAGGGTAGGTAGTCATGAAGACCGGAAATAAATGCAATGTTGTGAGAAATAGTATTTATATAGCTAGGTTGTGGCAGCATCCAGGAGGCAGACAGCACAGGCCATGTTGTCAGTACTTGAGTGGCTGTTATGTTGGTCACTTCTAGCCAAAGACCGATGGAGACCAGCCTTGCTTGGAACCAGTTGAATCTGAACATTCATTTTTTTTTTTTTTCTTATGTGCCAGTTGTAGGGTGTTTATTAGGTTGCCTCTTAGGCTTCTAATATCAGGAGAACTTCAACTTTGGAGGCAGGAGGAAGAACTTATCTTCTCCTGATTTGCCTAATTCGTTTTTTGGCAAAATTTTCTTTAGTTGAAAAGGCTGCACAGTGCCTAGCTCATAATTCAAAGTCTATGGTTATGTTTAATTAGAGCTTTGGAAAGATGTTACAGCCAAGCTGTTATATACTGAAGTTATTAGTATTTTGGGTTTTGGATCTAGTTTGAGGAATTTTACTGGAGACCTGATTTTCAGAATGTGCTAGTCATCTTCTGAGGATCAAATTCTTATCAGATTTAAGTTGATAATTCAGAATAAGCCACTTTGAAAACATTAACCAAGGCTGTAAGTTTCACTGAATTTCTGTTGCATACTTTTAAAAAAAAAAAAAAACAAACCCAAATGAATTTACTGTATAGTGAAGTTCACATGTATACTTCTCTGGTTGTGATAGCATCTTCTGATATCATCCCATTTCTACTACCACAGGCTAGAAGATACAAAAGAAAAGGGAAACTAGGCTGTGGTAATGGTTCTGCACCTGTAATAAATCCAGGAGAGAATGCCTTGTCTATTCCACAGATCACTTATGATCATATTGATGAACAAGAAGACAAAAAAGATGTGTCTTTCTACATTGATGAACCAGGTAATTTACTTTCACTTATGTTGAGGTTAGCATTTTTTAAGAGGCAGTGTTAAAGTGAATTTAACTGATGAAGGGAAAATTTCTGTGGAAAAAATAATTTAAAACTAATCAGTAAAGCAAGATGCCTCAAACCAGGGACAACTACATAACAAAAACAGGAGGACAGAAATTAAAGGAAATCTTTAGATTCATATGGTGTGAACATCAAAAGAGCTTTCTTTGTTTGCCAAAGTTAACTCAATTGAGATGTTGGATATATTGTTAATTGTACTTTTTTAGTTATCTCAGAGGTGGATGGAAAGCTTCCTCAGATGTGCCCCACCTTTAAACTTCACATAAAGCCTGAAAGAAGGAAAATAGGAAAAAATCTTAACTTCTTTACAGCACTTGCTTAAACATCATGCAAATAAAAGTTGTGATAGGAACAGCTAAATATTGTCATGCCTACATCAACCGAGAGGTCTTGATAAGAGGGGTGTTTTTCTTGCTTCATTTAAAATAGTGTGTTGCTATGAGTGGCTGTTGTATTTCAACCTGGAAACTGGTTGAATTTCGCTCCTGAGCAAAGATATTGCTTTGTGTGTAAAATTCTTTTGTTAATTAAATTTGTAGTATAAATGTGGGTATGAAATAGTATTGTTTACTATAAGGTTTTCTGGAAAGCTAATTTTTCCACTTTTGTGTTGATTTCCTTTCTCTGGGGCTGGGGGAAACTTGTGCTAGTTCTGGATCTGCTAAATCTTTAGCTAAAGGGGAGATTGTTTCTTCATAGTTTGAGGAGTTGTGTTCCATACCTAGAGACATGCAAACCCTTGCAAAGTTAACTCGAGTATCCAAAGATGCTGGCCCTAGTCAAAGGTATGTTATGTGGTGCTTTGATTTGGGTTTTCATTTGTCTTTGATATACAGAATTGATGTTCAGGTTTAAAATTGCTACTCCTATGTGTCATTGAATCTGACATACAGTTTCAGCCTGCAGAGAGTATGGCTATAGTCTTGACATGGTTTCTTTATTAAAAAGTACTCTAAATGTTTTTGCCCCCAGAGGGAATATGTAGTGTCTTCTGTATTGAACGCGATCAAAGGTAGGAGTTTTACTTGGTTGATCTGACTTTATAGAGTTGCTAGATTGTATTGTCAGTGCAACCTATGTCATCCATGCTAGAGCAGTCAGTCAGATGTGGGATAGCAGAGAATTGACAGCTGTGTTTGACCTTCAAGCCTCTGCTTCATGCAACTGATAGCCATGAGCTGCCATTGTGAAAGGAAGAGTTTCTTTCTTCCACTGATGGAGGTTTTCGTTACCCTTTGTTCTTCCTTATGTTCTATAATCTTCTATAAATCTTGTATCTGTCACTTTGCTGAAAAGCATTCTGACCTCAATGGTGCTATTTTAATTGTTGTTTGGCATTTCCAGTGCTTTCATAGGGTTCTGGGAACAGGGATGATAGGTGTGATTTATAAAGTTGCTGCTTTAACTACATGTCTCTTAACAGAATACTGTGTTCATTCTCAGCATGTTTTAGAGCTGTGCAGCTTCCCTTGCTGACCATGTAACAGCAGATTTTGCTGAGTGTATTTTGATATTGTGGTATCAGTTGGTGATGGGCAGAAGCAGCAAAGTGTTGTATAACTTCCAACAGCACTGAAGACAGTTAAGATGTTGAGGCCTATGTTGTCTGTATTCATGACCCTGCCAGTGCACATTTATTCACTTAAGCTGTGTTCCCTAAACATTCAGAGTCTAAGCAAAGCTCTATGCATCAGAAGAAAGAGATAGAAAAGACAAGCCTATCTCTTTCTGCCTGACAGCTTGGTGACAGAGGAAAATGAAAGATTTTTTTTCCCACTCTTTCTGAAAATGTTTTCTTGTACTTTTATTATAGCTGGTCTAATTTATTCTTGTTCTGAGAGACAACCATGCATATTATTCCCTTACCAATTAAGTTTTATCTATTATTCATTTTCTTTCATGTTTTGCCTTAGCCAGTGTCAGGGGTAAGTCACACTTCATTCTATTTTCTGATTCATTCCTTCTGTTGCAAAGCTTCCAGGAATGTAGTTGGCTAACTCAATTGCTCAGTTGACTGAACATTCTTGACACCTCTCAGAAGTTTAAACCTGACTTCTCTCAGTGAAGTTTTCCTTGCCAGAATTAATAGACTTCTATTCTTGAGAAGTGGAAGTACTAGGCTTCAAGCCTGTAAATGAGGGTATTTTTTTTCCTCTCTTAAAAAAGCTGAAAGTAGAAAAGGCAGAGAAAATAATAAAAAAGCAATTTCAAAGGTCTGTGCCAGCTTCTATTTCGGCGTTGCTATAGTGGAATATTTTATTCATTGGTTGTGGGGGCTGGATGTTTTACAGATGATGGCAAACTTCAAGGTTGAATTAGATCACTTTGTAGGCCTGACCTAGGAGGAGAAGAGCTGTTGCCTTAAAACAGCTCTTCTTGCCTGCTGCTCCCATCAGCTGTGAGAGAGACTGTAGGGAGACCTGAAACAAATGCTTGGCAAGTCTAGGCAACAGAATAGCAGTCCCACTATGAAAACTCCTTGTTCTGGGCAGGAAAAGCCTGAAATTGAGTCAAAATTTCCTTGATAAAGGAGAGATTTACCTTAATTCAGGAACTGTATTTTGTGAGCACACTTTTTACCCATGAAAAGGTTTTTCTTAGGATATCCTGTTCATGAGTACCCAGCATGCCCTTGGCTTGCTCAAAACTTGCTTAGGAGGCAAAGTTAGGCAAAAATGCTTTCCTCTTCTATATGAAGAAGGTTTAAGAAAAGGGAAGCCTTAAAAAAGCCTATAGATATGATCAGCATTAATGTTTCTGAGATACTTGTGTATGTGTAATAAAAACTATGCATCTCCATAGTGCATAATGTAGAAATTAAATCTTTACATACCATAAATGATGGCATCTTGAAACAAACACTTGATAACTTGAAAGGAAAACAGTTCCTGACTTAGTTCTGCACCACGCATGGGGGTTTTGGCGTGACTAATGTGGAGTGCTCTGTAACCCAAAGAACTCGACCATCCTTGCAAAAATAAAAAGGCCAAAATTCTTCCCTAAGAATAGTTTCCTTCTTTGAAGTCAAACCTCACAAAGAGGAAGCTGTTTAGAAGGAAAGCTAAAGCAAACATGGATGTAAGGGAAACAATTCTGGAAAATAACTGTGATGCTGAAGATACTCTAGTGCAGTGTATTCTCTTCATGGATATTTATTGCTTCTACTGAGGAACTCTTTCATACCAGAATGCATGGCTTAACTCTTTCATGTAGTGATGTAGGATTCTCAGTGATTTTATCCTCACCTGAGATTATAGCCATAATTGTTATCTACAGTCTTGAAATTGATCTTTACTTATTCTTCTGTCAACCAATGTGTACATACGCCACTGCAGCAAGGTCTGTTTTCAGGATGACAAGATATGCATGAACTCTCTGGCCTCTTTAATTTTGTTGTAAGTTTTAAAGAAGGTACTTGAGTATCAAGATGGTAGTTAGTTAGTTATCATAGTGAGATAGTGTGACAGGTCATAAAGACTGATCCAAATAGAAGAAAAAACCCAATGTTTGAGTGTAAGTGAAATATTTTACATGCATTTGAGGTTCATCTTCAAATAACTGCTATTCCCTTGCAACATATGTTTCTCAAAATGAACTGAATAGCTGTTTTGTAATGCTTCTTATTAGTGAGGAAAAAAATTACAAAAAATAGGAAAGTTTTTGGACCTTGAAGGTCAGCCTCCTGGGACATCTCCAGCACATGGAATATATTATTCTGTCAGTTGTGTAGGTTGTATACAGAACTCATTATTGTAAAATTTGTCAAAGTCACAAGACTCTCACAGTGATAAATGTCTGCTGGGGTAAAAACTAAATTCCCTATTTATCACTGTGCTTTTCTGTTTGCTTTTTTTGAGTTTCTTGCATGCTGACATATCCCCCCCCAGCAACACCCCCCTCCCACCCTACATTTAAAGCAAAACTGCACAAGAGTAGCTTTTCACCAGGAGGTGGGGGAGAACTGTAATTTTTGATGACCCCCAGAATATCTTTGTAAGACCTCTTATATAAAACACATAATGGTGTTAATGTTGATTTATTCTGTCTGCAATGCTAGTTTGGATGCTGACATTCCAGAATTTACCTATCTAGTAATGGATTGGTTGTTCCTGGAAACTGGTTGCATTTCCATTGCGGGGGGGAAAAGGGCTGCTTTCCCTCAATGGTGTAGATGGATTACAATCTGCAGTACATATCAAGAAGCAAACATTTTAAATGAAGTGGATTCATAGACTTCAGTGCTGACAAGCTGAGTGAAAGGTGAGAAAAAACATGTGGCTAAAATTAACAGAATAAAGCAAACACCAAAGCTTTTGAGTGTCTGCATAACTGTCAGTAAGTCAGAAAAGCATAAATATAAAGATATGCTCCAAATTAGCAAAAGAAAGTATCCAGATACCATGCTTCTGAAAAATGTCATGCTGTTAATAAGGAACATTTAACATAGGCTGGTGGTTTTGCAGTGAAAATCTATGGGTAGGGCTGTTTAACTTCTTAATTTGTCAGTCAGCTCAGGACTTGTAGGTACTAATGGTACTTACCTGTGAGTAAGGATTGTGGAAACATACCTGTATGCCTTTACCAGAAAGTTTTCAGTTTTTGCTGTTTCAGCCCTGGCTGTCCCAAGTGAGAATTTGCAGTGAATTCTGTGGTTTATCTTTTATGACCAAAGTGAATGGTAGAACTTGGGGTGGGGGACAATGTAAGGGGAGATGAAGGCTAAGAACAGAATAGTTGCCTCTGCCAAACTTGCTCTTACTTCTGATTAAATGTGGCAGCTTTTGAGGCTTAAAAATTTTTGTTCTGCATTTACTCAAACTCCCTGTTCTACCTGATTTAGATCTGCAGAGTTTAGGTCACCAGTCACACCGGACTTGAGCTGGGACTTTGTCTCTGGGACCATCTCGTACAATGGGGGAGCACAGTGAGAGAAGGTATTTGCAGGTCCCTCAAACTTTTTCTGATTAGTAATATCAGTAAATCTGAATTTAAACTACTTTTATCCAGAAAACAGTCTTGCTTAATCAAACACAGTACACTTAGATGAAACTTCATTTAGTTGAAAATGTTCTAACTAAATCTGTGATGTAAGGCTGAATTTAGCAGTTCAGTAGCAAAAAAAAATTTATCTGCATGGGACGGAGACTTTATGGTGATGTTGCCTTAGGACAAGCACATGGTGAATGAAAAATCCGTGCTATAGAGTTAAACAAATGAACAGTGGCAGTCCTGTCCACCATGGACTAGAGGCGCTAGTGTTTCTGGTAAAATTGGCTGTTAGAACTGGGGGAAAAAAGATGCTATCAGCACAGCAGTGGGGAAAAATAATTGAGTTGCAAAGGAGGGCATACCCCAGAATAGGATATTTTGTTGCCAAAAATTAATATTCAGATAACTTACAAATTATTTGCTTCTCTAATTTCACACATTTTGAGTTAACATGTTAGAATTGTAGAATCATAATCATTTAGTTGGGAAAAGACCCTTAAGTTCATAAAGTCCAACTGTTAGCCAAGTCCATAGCTAAACCATGTCCTTAAGCACTACATCTACACACCTTTTTAAATACCTCCAAGGATGGTGATTCAACCACTTCCCTGGGCAGTCTGTTCCAATGCCTAACAACCCTTTCAGTGAAGAGATTTTTCCTACTATCCAGTCTAAACCTTGCCACTACCTGAGGCCATTTCCTCTTGTCCTATCGCTTTTTACTTCGGAAAAGAGACTGATGCCTTCCTTGCTACAACCTCTTCTTGGCTGGTTGCAGTCAGTCTCCTTTTCTTCAGATTAATCAACCCTGGTTCCCTCAGCTGCTCCTCACAGGACTTGTTCTCTAGGCTCTTCACCAGCTTTGCCCTTCTTTGGGTGCTCTTCAGCACCTCAGTGTCTTGTAGTGAGAGGCCCAAAACTGAGCATGGTACTTGACGTGTGGCATCACCAGTGTCAAGTACAAGGGAACAATCACTCTCCTAGTCCTGCTGGCCACAGTACTTCTGATACCAACCAGGATGGTTGTTGGCTTTCTTGGTAACCTGGGCACTCTGCTGGCTCATATCCAGCTGGCTGTTGACAAATATCTCCAGGTCCTTTATCTGTTGGGCAGCTCTCCAGCCACTCTTCCCCAAGCCTGTAGTGTTGCATGGGGTTGTTGTGACCCAAGTGCAGGACCTGGCACTTGTCTGTGGTGAAACTCATACAATTGACCTCAGTCTATCAATACAGCCTGCCCAGGTCCATCTGCAGAGCCCTCCTACCCTTGAGCAGATCAACACTCCTGCCCAAGTTGGTGTCACCTGTAAACTTACTGTGAGGGTGCAGTTGATCCCTTTGTCTGGATCATTGATAAAGGTATTAAACAGAATGGTCCCAATACTGAGCCATGGAAAACACCACTTGTGACCAGCTGCCAAATGGATTTAACTCTGTTCACCACAACTCTTTGAGCCTGGCCATCCAGCCAGTTTTTTACCCAGTTAAGAGTGTTCTAATAATAAAACAAAAATATTGCCTAATAAAAAAACAAAGGCAGCTTTTTAAAGTGTTATTAGATGGAACTACTAAATAGTACAGTTTTTGGTAAGCTATTTGATGGTACTGATGTGTCTTTAATAATTTTTTGCTCTTGGATCCAGAATATACAGCATGATAGTCTTGCTGTGTAAGTCTCTGGGCAAGAGAAGGGAGGAAGAAAATCCAAGACCCTGTCATAAGGGTCTCAAGGGAGAATTCAGCTGTTGACCATAAAGGCATGAAAACAATTTTTCTTTTATGTTTAAGCAACCAGCAGAATCTTTTCATAATTAAGAACCTTGTATGGTTTTTCTGGCATCTGTGTCTGAAGACACAGATTGGAATTGGAAAAACCTATTGTTCAGCTAGGTCTTCTGTAGCCTCGGTACAGAAGTTGGAGAGTGGAAGTAGAGAAGACTGTTCTACCTTTGAGTTGTACTGCTAGAGATTTGATTAAATATATGAAAGGTGTGTTGGAGAATAACCTTAAAATGTTACTTAGCCATCCCTGGGAAGAAAACAGAAGTGAAATAGTTATTGGACTTCAGAAATGGAAACTCAGTTAATATGTAAGGTATAGTAGGAAGCAAAACTAGTAAGTGTTATGCTCAAAGTCTTTGTAAGCAAGAGGAAGCACACATTATAAAACTAGAATTTTGTGCTAGTATAACTGAAATACTGAGATCTAATCGCTATTAGTCCAGATCTAGTTGTTACAAAAAAGAATCAAATGCAATGTGTTTTTTGCCTATATAAAAATGTTGTAATATTAGTAAAAATACAATTAAAAGTGTAACACATACTTCTTCATTTATACCTATTTTCCTAGCATTTATAGTCCTCTGGGTACTAAGGTTTCATTTGCTGCAGGGGCAGAAGGGGAAGTGGTACAATCTGGTGTCTTTCACAAGGAGGAAGATGACGTTTGTGGTGAAAGGTTCTTCTTCCTCTCCCAGGATCCACTTGGGGTTACTTATAAATGTTTCCTAACACACTTTTACATATTTCTTCATTGCTATGCAGCTCCGGATTTCATCTGAATTTACCGTATATGTTCACCTTTATGTATGTGAGATAGTATTCCTTTGTTCCTGTTAGACTTAAAACCAGGTTTGTCCTGCTCTGGGACTGCATTTTTATTTAACTGACCATTAGTGAATTGTTTATAGCTGTAGAGTCTCCAGTGCCAAGCCTGTGCCCCATGTCTTATCTCATGCCTGTACTCCTATATCCTGCACCTTGTGTTTCCAATTCTCAAGGTCTCTGATATTCTACCCAGTCTGTATTTCTATAAATAATGTCATTATTTAGTTGTGAATCTCACTCTACTAGAATAACTGCTGTTACTACTGTAGATATGGAATTATGGCTGTACAACACAAAGATAAACAAATTAGATCTAGACACCTGGTTAATTAGAGAAATTCATGTGACAGCTAAATCGCTTGAAGTCAGGCCAGGAAAAGCTTGGGCAGAGCTGGCTTGAGAAGCAAACTTGGTACAAAGCTGAGTAACATTGTTACTAGCAGTGCTAAGACAGGACAACATGGAAGAATTCGGGAGATGTAGGAGCTCCTTGGTGAACTTGCATGAATATCACAAGCTGTCCCTCTTCCAAGATGTAGGAAGGATTGGAACAATATGGGTAAATTGTGAGCTTTTTTTTAATGACCTAAACTTGAGTGAAAAATCTATGTGGAATGGAAGTTTGGCCCAATGAAATATAAAGTGTAAAGAGAGTAATGATGTCAGGAAATAGTTAATGCTTTTTTCTTTTCAGTGAAAATTAACACTGAATTTACTAAAATTAACACTACAAATTGTCTTACTTGCTGCTATTTTGTTTTCAGTGAGGAACAAATCCAGTCAGAAGAGAAAGGTTTGGGAAAGATACTCTGAAGTCAGGTTGCCTTTAGTTATCTGGGCTTGCAAAGTAAATAGCTGAGGAGTAAGGGAGTGATCAGAAACAACCTGAGGGCCACTATCGGGACTGGTAGGAGATGTGTCTGTAAGACCTACAGATGGGTCTATGAAATGGCACACAATGCTTGCTTTGAAAGGGAGGGAAGGAGGAATTTCTATTTCTAGGAAAGTCCATTTCCTAGAAGAATGTTGGAGTGGTCAAACTATTTGTAAAACAACACGCAGTAAGAAGGAAATAAGTAACATGAACATGAATTGGTCAAGAGCGATCATGTGGAGTATTTTTTCTGTGATGTGATGGTGTGCGTTGTAAATGGGAGAGGGGCAGAAGACAGTTTACATACTGATTTTAGTCACTCTTCCCTGTCTTGTCCTTATATATGCATAAACACAGGATCTGGCTTGTGGTCTAGAAAACTAGCCTAGTCTACTGCAAGAGGGATGAAAACTGAGAAATGCATTCAGAGAGGTTTCTGAGCCTAGTGATAGCAAATGAGCCCATGGGTGGGTGGACTAG